AAAATAAACAGAAAATTACAAATCGAGTAAATATACATAAAAACTCACTATATTATTCAACGCACAAGTATGAAGGAGTAAAAAAAAGTTCAGAAATCACTGGAACTTTATAGTTTTTCTTCCAACTCTCAAACTGAATGTTCACTATCGGAATTTCACTTTCACTATCGGATTAGGCTCTAAATTATAAATTGAAAGCCGTTATCAATTACAGACCATCTCACTATTAAATGAAAAAACAATAATTAAAGGTCACGTAATCATTTATCCAAACTCTCATCTCTACCTTGTCGGGGGATATGGATCTCTCGATCATACGCATCCTCTACATAAACTATTATCACGATATCAAAACATATCAAAACCAATACAACGACAACAAAATAACAGATGTCGGATTACCTAGATAACTTGAGTCATCGCAGGTAAGCAGGACAGAAAACGTATATCGACAAAAATATGTGCTTGAAAACATTGAAACTCGTAGAACACGTGTTAACCCTGATAACAAGAATTGTATGAAGAATAATTTACCGCTCATACGACGAACGTATAATTTCACCAGAAAGTCACCATATATCACGCAGACGCGACAAGTGTTAAGGATTACCACATCATTTTTGCATGCTAAGAACAAATCGTGACTCAAAATGCAAACAAGCTGCATCCTTGACACGGGCCTTGCAGGGGCTGTGCAAACAGCCGCTCGCACTCCACCAGGAAAATCACGTGTAAACATAGATTAATAGACGTTTATTCCACGAAACTACGTTCAATTGACGTTTATTTCACGAAACAACGTTCAATTGACGTTTTTCACGAAAAACGTTATGTTGACGTTTTTCACGAAATAGCGTTCAATTGATGATTATTTCATTAAATAGCGTTCAATTGACGATTATTTCACGAAACAACGTTCAATTAACGTTTATTTAACAAAACAGTGTTTAATTCAACGTCAGATGTTTGGTAAGGGCTTGCGTACTGCAGTCAGTATACGGCGCAATGTCGCCATATGCTCGATAAAGCTATTCCGAGGTCCTAAGATTGTTCGTCAAAACGAATATCATCAAGTTTTCAGTGAAAATAAAAACGGAAATTTAAATTCCACGTCTTGTATGCCTTAATTAAGTACCAAGAGGAGAAGAGAGGTTCCTACTTTTGACTAGGGTACTTCCTATAAAATCCAAAATGCTTTTGGCTGACGCGTTTGCGGAATCGTTAGGATTTCCGCGTTGCTTGACGAGATCTCGACGAGATTTTACACTCTAACTAACGAAAGATAAAACACACAATGCATCGGAGTTCAACGCAACATATTTGCTCCTCCATACACCAATTAACACACGTTTGAACAATCAGAGGTTATCCCAACCAAGCGTAGTGCGCTCGATCATATTATACGCACGCGTGTCATCAGCTCGATCATATAAGCAAGCGTGTCATCAGCTCGATCATATAAGCAAGCGTGTCATCAGCTCGATCATATATACGCACGCGTGTCATCAGCTCGATCATATAAGCAAGCGTGTCATCAGCTCGATCATATATACGCACACGTGTCATCAGCTCGATAATGCGCACGTTTGTCATCAGCAAAAATGCACCGCGCACTTCAAGTCAACATGTCAATAGATCGGAGATAATTCATGGAAATTTTTTATAAACACAGCATACTCTATGGACAAGACCTCCATTAGAACGAGGTTAATTCTCTTCCTACATGCACGATAGCATCGATAAATTCGTCCATACTCCTGGAATATGACGAGCCATGAGAAGACAATGTGCTTTCTTGAAATGAACTACCAGCATCTGAACAAGTCAATTACTGGAACCAGAATATTAGGAATGCTTTATATTTGTTCAAACAAGACTGAGCGCTATTTATTAATAAAAATATTAAGCGACGTCACTGTTTGAACAAATAATTTTATTAAGCATGTATGAATAAATCTAAATTTTAAATTGTACGAAATATTGACAACTAAATGCTTCGTATACCAATATGGCGATCACGAGTCTCGGGAGCGACAGCGCTGGCCCTGACACAGAGCGATGACTCATCGCCGGGGCAACAGAAGTACATACTTGAACAGCACGTAACTGTACATACGTGCACTGCACGTAACTGTACATACGTGCAGTGAACGTAACTGCGGGGTTATGTACTGCGTGCTGTATGCTCATACTTGCACTGCACGTTAATTAAATGATTAAATAATATTTATTATTATTTTATAATATAATTATATAAACGAAGAATTAAAATGGAGACGATTTTAATTCATCGTATGCGCGACGATTAAAACCAACGATCATGTCTGGTCTGCGATTCAAATTCGTTGCAGCGGAATTTCACAAAATTTACTGCTGGATAAAAAGGGAATTATTATGAAGTTCTGGAATTGACAATTAAATTTTGCTCTAATTTCTGCAATAGCGTTAATTATACAAGTACAACAGCATAACTGACGAATTGTATTGAATAAACATGATTTTGAACATCAAGAGCAGATAGTGGTCAGTCGACGACCCATACATAAAATAGACCAATGAGTTTAAAAATTTTCTAAGTGGAAGTGGCAGAGCGAAATATCAATCGCCCCTACCGTTGAGAAGGCGCGCCCGCATGTACTGAAAAAAATAAAATTCAGTACTCACTGCAGTGAGTGACAGAGAGCGCATTTTCTCGTCGACTTACGTGCCACGCACACGGGGCACGCAAGCACGTGGGGGGAGAGATACGTGCCACGCACACGGGGCACGCAAGCACGTGGGGGGAGAGATACGTGCAACGCACACGGGGCACGCAAGCACGTGGGGGGAGAGATACGTGACACCGCAATTATTTAATAATAATAATAATATTATTTCGTGAGGCCGAATAATAAAGGCCGAATATATACTTGATTTACAGTGAATAGTAGAACGGCAAGCAATAACAGCTGAATAAATAGTCAAAATTTACTTTGATTACGGTGATAAAAGGACGATATCAAAGAGAAATGTGTAGGTCAAGGAGCAATAACACCCTGCTTTTATAATATAATTATTGTATGATAAATACTATCACTGCATAATAAAAGACAAGTTTGTTTGCAATGCATAAGAGAAGCACGGTTCGCCATGGCGCCGCCTCATCTGTCGCTGCACCACAACACCAAAATCAATGCGGCGCGCGCAGCCGCACCAGCAGCGGACGCGCGGCACAACCTCCCACCACCGCAGCCACGCTCACACTGACGCATGCAGACAACAACACAACATGGCTCAGCTGTCGTGGATTCGTGGTGCCAGCGACTATTTTCTTGAAAAACCTTGATTACACATCAGAAAAAATTACAGTTGGATGAAAAAAACCTAGTTTTATCCTAACATGTAATTTCTTGACAATAATTATTGATTGATTTTGCAATCAAAAAACCTAGATCTAGGTTTATAAACCTAGCGCTGACAGCACTGGGTTCCGCTGTCGTGGTGCTTGCTGCACGTACATTGCAGATATTGCACACAAGTTTTTTGTATTGTGTGCCATGAATCATGGAAAACAGAAATAAAGCGCCCAAGAATTATGACTTTAAGCGCCAAAAGTTTTGTACTATTATTGAGAAATCTACAACTATAAATATGACACTTCAATTCAAGTAAAGTAAGCATGGTTAACGGTCTCCGTGGAGTTGGTATAACTCGCTCGTTCAACCTAAAAGGACGACAGCACTGACGAAAAAAAAAAAAAATACGAAAAAAACTGACGAAAAAAAAAATCGACAGATAATACTGTCCCCAATTCTCATTGTAAGCAAAATACACTAAAACGAAAAATTTGTCCAACAGTTCAAAATTCACACCGCATGTAATATACTCAATATCTAAAAAATTTAACCGAAGTCAATTCTATAATTTGAATTTATCTCCAATTCGGCGTATTGTAGATGTTTTCTCGGCAATTTTTCAAGTGAGACAAAGGTCATTATATAATTCATGTGTCTCCGTTAGACTAATTCCATTGGTCTGGCAAGAATTGCACTAAGTTCAACAACTTAACAGCGTCAGAAGTCTGACGATGGACGAAAAGAAAGTCCATCTGACGATGGACTTTCTTCAATAAGAAAGTCAGACAGTGGACGAATTTTCCCTCCAGTGTCAGCGCAGCGACAAATTAGCAGCAGATACTTAAGTGCTAGTTAATAACTTAGCTAGCACCCGCAAAAAATTCCACCGTAAAATTTAAATAAGATGTGTAAAAAAATGTTTCGGAAGAAATGATGCGATAATTTCAAAAACTTACTGTGATGAAATGGAATTATTACTACGAAATACCCTACCAAACGAAAATTTCTATTTACGGCCCTTCATGATTTAAGATTTTAAGTCAAATAGTGACTAATACGAAATAATAATAATAGAGAAAAATGATGATAACAACAATAATATTATCAATAATAATAATTATACGTAAGAATAATTAGGTTATATACGTAATAATAAAGTCATGTTACTTATTCTGAGCAATAACAAGTATTAAAGCAACCTGGCCTTACCGGGATCGTATGGCCGACTTACCGGCGGCCAGATAAGCAGGCTCTCGATGCCAACCAAAGCCAATATCTGCGATAGCGACTATCTTGGTATCTTGGTGCCATATCGCGTCTACTGGCTGCCATATCGCGTCTACTGGCTGCCATACCGCGTCTACTGGCTGCCATATCGCGTCTATTGGCTGCCATATCGCGTCTATCTACTCGCTGCCATGTCTCACTACTCACTGCCATGTCTCACTACTCACTGCCATGTCTCACTACTCGCTGCCATGTCTCACTACTCACTGCCATGCCTCACTACTCGCTGCCATGTCTCACTACTCGCTACCATGTCTCACTACTCGCTGCCATGTCTCACTACTCGCTGCCATGTCTCACTACTCGCTGCCATGTCTCACTACTCGCTGCCATGTCTCACGACCCCACAGTTGATGTAAGGAACTCAGAACGCAAGAGTCAACCTTTAGCCGCCTGTTGAAATTCCGCCAATAATGAGCTCTAATGACACAGCAATAGGTTCGGAAATTCTGTAGCGAATGAATTACACAAAAAGCTATGTTATTAACCGAGTAGGCTAAGTGCAATAAGAAACAAAAATTTACTGCATTAACCGAGTAGGCTAAGTGCAATAAGAAACAAAAATCTACTGTACACTCACCTGTGGGGATGTTGCACCAGCACCAGCTGAGGTACCGGTACTAGTGCCAGTGATAATTGTCTCAACTATTTTATCAGCTGGAACGGCACCAGTACTTATCGCGTCAGTATTGATTTTCAAATTAAAAGCCACTTCGGCAGTAGCGGGAGTAACGGCGGAGCTGGTATTGCCGGTGTTACGGAAACCATCAGAAATTTTGTTACGAAAGCTTTCAACTTTGGCGCTTAAAGAAGCAGCTTCATAATTCAACGGAGCGTCAGTGGAGACTGAGGAATCGGTGTGAATAGAAACGCCTTCAAAATCGCCAGATAAATCCGATACACAATTCAGTAAATCACAACCGTCGCCCATAATGTTCACTTCACCATCATTTGCATTCACAAGACCAACATTGGGATTACAACACACATTTGCGACACTCGGCATCAGGTCCAGTTGATCGTTGAGGCTTTTGGATTTCAAGTAGAGCTTTGATGGAGACTTTCGAGCAAGCGGCAGGCGGATGAAGGAATCAGCGCTAGGGCGTCTATCAAGCATATTAAGGGCTTCGTTGGTTGAAGTCTTGCCTTCACATGTGAAGGATTTGGAGACGGCAAAAGGCGAGGCAGACTTCGTAATCTTCTTGCGTTTTTTCACCAAATGACCAGGAGGCAACAAGCCAGAATTTTGTTCAGATCCGACAAAGTTATGGTATGTTACACCCCCTAATAAGCCTCGCGTTACGCTGGTCTCCTGAATTTCATCGAAATCAGCATTGACTTCATTTGCTCCTCGAACGTATCCAATATTAGATCGCGGTTCATGACCTCTATACCCTCGGCCAAAATCAGAGGTCCTTTCGGTTGCTTCTAAGCCGTTGATGAACCTTGGAGGTTTTCCTTGCGATTCCAAACCACCTCCGAAATTTGACGACGCTTGCAGTCGATGAGCTGCAGAATCCGTTAAGTTTGCATCATAGCCCGGAGCTGGGCAGCGCTCCAACTCAGACGTGATGTCGTAACTAAGAGGATGGAAGATCCGAGAACTTGCACTGCTACCTGGAGAGCGAATGGTAGTACTAGAGTTCTGATTCGACCGCCTGAACAAAGGAGAGGAACTCAATTGGTTTTCGTACTGTGGATCTTTGCGAGCGTATCTTGACGCTAGTGATTGGGAACTCCGAGAGTTGAGAAGTTGCGCCTGCGTTGCGTCATTTTGCTGTTTCTGCCACAAGAGCTCGTTGTGGATTTGTAGGTTGCGTATGTGATGGTTACGCTGTACCGCTGCTCCACTTGTAGGCATTTGAAACTTTTTGGCGTTCTTTTGCTGTGTTTGCAAGTTGTCATTGAAGACGTTATGAAGACGCTTGTCCCGACAAGGTATTGCGTTACTTACACTAACATTACAAGCAGTACTTGTGGTATGAGTATTTAAATTGTTGGGGTATGACACTGGACTATTGATAAGATCTATACACGTGTTACTTAAAGTAGAAGTAATACCATTGGCGGCAAAGGAAGTGGTACTATTGACGATATTTCTAACGACATTTTCGTAGGTAGGAAAGGTTCTTTGGTTGTGGTTTGATGAGATCAGAGAGTTGCGGGCACTGGGATCAGTGCTCCTAATACTGTTGCATAAATTATTCATGAAGATTGAGGTGCTGTGGCCGCCGCTTGAGAAACTGTCTTCATTCAGGGAATCTCGGGCATTGAAACGGCCTGGAATGTTGGAACATTTGGGATTTGGAGGCAAGCGCCCTCCAGAAATGGAATAAAATTCGTCAGCGCGGTAAAGCGCATTGCTGCAGTTCTGTACGTCATAAATATGGCCGTTTATCAAGCAATTTTCACGTGAAGAATCTTCGTTATCGACAGTGTTGTTAGCAGTGCTTGTTTCGCAAAACTCTGGTCCAAAGTTAATATCAGAGAAGTTATCTCGAATTTTTGTGTTATTGACACCAGAATAAACTTGATTGTAGTTGTTGTTGCTTACTTTAGCAGTGTACGGTGCTAAGTTTGTCCCGTCTGTGGCAGAGACAGACGTTAAGGGAAGACTAGCGAGGGTAGACGTGAACCCTCGAGTTGAATTACCATTTGGTGTTAAAGGGCTGCGCAGGATAGTGTTGGTGCGAGTGTAGATAAAAGAATTCTGAGAAGAGAGATCACAATTGGACGAGAAACAGTTTATATTTTTCGCTACACCGGCGTCGGGACCGCGAACATAATCCACGCTTTGAGCGAAAGAAGTATTATTTGTTGGAATAAATTCATTTGAAGTTACATTCGAATAAGCATTTTCCTGTGCTGCAACTCTAGCCTGATGATGCAGGTTGTTTTGTGTGGAACTTAGCATTGAATGATATTGCGGTTCAGAATAACAGGAGTTTGCCAAAGATGAGCAGACGTTCCGGTGAGGAGACTGGGTTGATTTTTGGGGCGTGCGTGCGATGAGGGGCGTGAGGTTAAACCTCCTGCTGGGGGAAGAACCTACGTCGTCGTCATCGCGCCTGATAAACAAAAATATAATTAGATTTACAAATAAAATATTAGATTTACAAAAAAAAATATTATTTGATTTACAAAAAAAAAATATTATTAGATTTACAAAAAAAATATCATTTGGCACTCGGAACACAAGGGCATTTTTTTTAAAGAAAACTAAATGTATTACTCGTTTCAGATGAGACATTCTTTATGATAGTAAATAGATTGTGAAGATTGTTCAACTGGGAAGAACCTACGTTGCCGTCATCGCGCCTGATAAACAAAAATACTATTAGATTTACAAAAAATATTATTAGATTTAAAAATTAATATTATTAGATTTACAAATAAAATCATTTGGGACTCGGAACACAATGACACTTTTTTCAAGAAAAACTAAACGTACGGTATCACAAGTTTTCGATGAGGCGTTCTTTATGATAGTAAATAGATTATGAAGATGGTTCAACGAGCAGATACAACTGTAAATAATTGATTTAAAAAAAAAACTTTCTCAATTGAAAAAAACTAATGAAGGACCAAAAAAATTCAATTATATATATTAAAGCTAGACAAGGAATCAATTCATTTCAGCAAACTTTCCTTCCGAACACAAATAAACAGCAAGATGAAACTAAGTAGTGTTGAGACCAACAACTAGACGCGCACAAATCCAAAACAATCATCATACATGTAAGTAAATTTTTGGCAATCTATGGCTCTCAACTTAAATCCCAGCAATAAAACAGTTAGATGCTTTAATACGTTGCAAAATTCCTAAATAGCAGGCCTAATCCTGCGTTAGATAACTTATCAAAATTATTTAACCCCAATATTACCGAGTAAATAGGTGAGTGGAAATTGGAGTTCTCTAACTCGATTTCATTTTCAAAACTCAACAGAAGATACAAATTAACTTGTATTTCTAAACATAAACTCACCCCCTACAAATTTACTTGTATTTAAACAAATTTACTTGTACATATGAGCTCACTTCACGAATATCAATTTCTACTTCTAACACATGAACTCACACCGTAGAAATTAACTTCTATTTCTAAACATAAACTCAGCTCATAAAAATCAACTTATATTTCTGACAAATTAACTCACCCGGGACAAATTTAATATTATTTCTTATATATGAACTCAACCCGGACAAATTTAATAGAATTTATAGTCTCATAAACTCGCCTCATACAAATTAACTATTATTTCTAAACATAAACTCAGCTCATACAAATCAACTTCAATTTCTAACAAATGAACTCACCACACATAAATTTACATCAATTTCTAACACATAAACTCACCCCGGACAAATTTAACAGTATTTCTAACACATAAACTCACCCCGGACAAATTTAACAGTATTTCTAACACATAAACTCACCCCGGACAAATTTAATAGAATTTCTAACACATAAACTCACCCCGGACAAATTTAATAGAATTTCTAACACATTAACTCACCCCGGACAAATTTAACAGTATTTCTAACAAATAAACTCACCCCGGACAAATTTAATAGTACCGTATTTCTAAACATAAACTCACTGGGATAATTCGAGATCCTCCGGACTGCTGCCAACAAGTAACTCGGGCGACTGAGGGTCGCAGAGTTGCTGGGGATGAAATATGAGGGAAGGTAAGGGAGGGGGTGAGTCTCTTGCCCCTACGACGCTCTTCGCCTGGTCAGAACTCTTCGTACTACACGACCGCGTGAAATTATTAGAGTCGCAAACAACGTTACCAAAGTCTGGTCCCTGCCCATAAGGCTCTGAATGAACACTTCCGAAGCGGCGGGTTCTAGGCACGTTCTTAACAGAAGATCTCCTGGAGTTGTTTAAATCAGAAGCATCATGATTTTGGGCCCCATTGCACGAGGGAGAATTGGGCTGTGCAGGTGCACAACGTTCCTTGGCCACGACAGTCAAGTTGTTCTTAGCACAAGGACTCGCAGAAGCTCGACGGGGGGCGCGCGGACGAGACGACTGCCGTATAAGAGGCGACAATTTGGAAGATAAGTTAGAATTGTTTGATGCCGCTGAATGGTTATTACACTTTGACGCACATGAATTATGAGAGTTCTGTGAATCATTCAAGTTGGTTTGCGTAGAATGAGAGGTTGAAGGAGAATTTAAGGAGGTTGGATAAGCAGGGAGGTGATTATATGTGGAAGCTGCGCCACGGGAGTTCCTCGAATTTGAATCAATTGATGAAAAAGCACCAGCGACGTTTGGTAGAGTTTGAATTTTACTTTCCATTCCATCGCCTCCACTTCGTTTCCCTAAAGGGATTTTGGTTTGCCTAGCTCGTCCTCCCCCAACACATAACTTGTTCGGGGAAGCAGAAGTAGCAAACTGGTCGTTGCTATCACCAGCTGGAACTCTAGGATTGCTTGCAACTGCTGGAGGACATGCAGTACAAACTTCCTCTGATGGTGAGCCGTTACTGGTCTCTGTGTAGTTGCTAGTCTCTGCGCCGTTGCTGGTTTCTGCGCCGTTGCTGGTCTCTGCGACATTGCTGGTCTCTGCATCGTTGCTCTTGACAGGAGAAATGTCGGTACTGTCCATCTGGCGGCAAGGAAGTGGAGGTACTGCAGAGCTGCCGGACAAATGAGCGCGAGATTGGGAGTCCGTGGGGGAGAAACTAGTGGAAGATGACATTACAGAAGCACCGGCAGAGGTAGTGACAGGTGCAATGGTGGAACAGTGAGCTGCAGCAGAAGCACCCGAAAAAGATGCGTCAAAATAGACAGAGGCACCAGTGGAGGGCTTGACGGGAGTGACAGAGGCACCAGAGGAGGGCTTGACAGGAGTGACAGAAGAGGGATTGACAGGATTGACAGAAGCTGTAGAAGGGGTTGTGACAGCGGAACCATGGCTAGAAGGACTTTTCGCTTCAGCAGAAGGCTTCATGATGACATCAGTAGGTCGAGAGCACCACCTGCACAATTAAATAAATATTGAGAATTCGTTTAACAAAGTAGAAATTACTTTGCGGTATACAACACAAATTCTCCAATAAATTAAGAAACGAATTAAGCAGCCATCAAACGTGTAAGTTTAGCGTCAATACAAAGAAGTCTCTACTCACCGCTAAGACTGAACCAAAAGGTCTTCTAATTTGAGTCATATCTTTTTTACAAGCAAGCAAGTAATTGGGCTAAAAGTTTTTTGGAAAACTTCATTTTGATCTCGAACATTGCATGCTACTAGAGGCTTTTGAATGAATGACAAAACGTTTTGATTTGAAACCCATTTGACATTTTCCTATACCGTATACATCTGCCAACACCGTATACATCTGCCTATACATCTGCCTATACCTCCGCCTATACCGTATACATCTGCCAATACATTCATATTTCCTGAATTGCAAGCTACCACCGACCAGTTGATCCGTCTTTTAACTATTACAATCATTTTGTATCGGTCGTCAGCAGACGGGAGAGGATGACTCACTCATTTCTCTGAGTGACGACGCATGGGTACAAGAGTCTCACCTGACGTCAGTGCAGCAGCTCATGACTCACTCATTTCTCTGAGTGACAACGCATGCGCACAAGAGTCTCACCTGACGTCAGTGCAGCAGCTCGTGACTCACTCATTTCTCTCAGTGACGACGCATGCGTACAAGAGTCTCACCTGACGTCAGTGCGGCAGCTCGTGACTCACTCATTTCTCTCAGTGACGACGCATGCGTACAAGAGTCTCACCTGACGTCAGTGCTGCAGCTCGTGACTCACTCATTTCTCTCAGTGACGACGCATGCGCACAAGAGTCTCACCTGACGTCAGTGCAGCAGCTCGTCGTCAGGAGGACGGAGGGCGGAGCTACAGCTTCCTAGCCGCTGCCACATCCTCGTCTGCAAACAAAACTTGCATAAGATGATAGTCTACGAGTGAATAATTCAGTCTGCGCGTGAATAATTCAGCCATGCTTGGACAAGGTACTCAAAAACCAAAATAGATTGGTAATTAAAATAGGAAATATTGCAAAGCAAAACATCAACTCACGACCAAAGAATGATGAAAATGAAACCTTCATCGCCCCCAAAGTAGTTTAGTCATTTGTCTATTGGCGGCAACTCTAGTTGCCAGATCTTGGAAAGTCATAGCAATGACTTCAAGACAATAAATTTAAGCTAGTCAGTCAACCCAATTCCAAATCGTTAGCCCACAGCCAGCCTAACCCCACACAGTCAGCCCGTAGTCAGCCTAACCCCACACAGTCAGCCCGTAGTGACGGAGCCACTTAAGCGTCGTGGCGGCGCAGCTTTAAGACCCGTCGCTGCCCAGTTTACAGACAAAGTTGAGCAAACTCTCCACTCTGCCAGGACGCTTACCGACACTACCTTTAGCTTACACAACTATGATAATTATATGCCAATAATTATCGTTTTACAGGCGATTACCACTTCATATTACGCATTTTGCGTTGATTTAATCGATTAAATGAACAAGATGATTAAATGGATCAATTAACAAGATGATTTAATGGATCAAACGAACATGGCCGACTAACTGGATCCCAAAACAAACCAGTATGTGGGCTACCGACATACTGAGCACCGCCACGCAGAGCGGGTATATAAGAACTTGACAATGATTATTACAGTGGGACAATCTTTGCTTATTCCGGCATTAATGATGACGCATATGACGAAGGCAAATAAAAATGGACTTCGATCTTCAATGACGCCAAAATCATTTATCTGATTTAGGGTAATCGCAAAATTTGATGCATTAGATATTATGCTTACATTTATAAACCCATTAAAACAATTAATGGTAGCACAAAATGAAATACGCAGAGTGTGCAGAACATCACCTGAATGCGTAAATATTCTACCGACAACTTCAACAGTTTGTAATGCAACTTTTAGTCTAAACTTGAAAAATCCAGTTTATAGCAAAATGTACGCATATCTTTTCTACGCAAACTTTAAATTAAATTTAAAAAGCTCACCGATAAACATTTGCAACTACGAAACCAGGCAAGATTCATTGTTTATATCACGAACTAAAGCCTTAAATGGCCTCCGATAAGCCTCCCAACTCTTCAAACGGCGCAGTTTATATACGCTAAGACCCTCATTATAATTTAGTTGGACAATCGATGGGCAGCGGCGGCTAACGTGGCTACGGCACGAAACACGTACGGCAATCATCCGATAACGAAACTGTGAGCGTTTTCTCTTATTTTCGTACTGGTGTTGTTATCGGCGTCTTGATTGATGTCGTTTTTCTAATACTATTCGCCCTGGTTAGTAACGATGCACTCGGTTCGTCCAAAGACTCGAAACAAAACTTCAGCGCTGCTTGCAATGCTTCTATCCTACATAGTGAAAACAACATGGAAACTACGTGAAAGGATTTTAAGTCTTATAGCTGAACATCTTATGTCGACTGTTGGACGTAAATAACTGTTCAAGATAACTAAATATAATTAGATAATAGACCCGGAACTGACTTGGGCCCACTGCCGATAGATGGTATTTTATTTACCGCTTTTCGAATTCGGTTGCCGCGAATAATACATCAAAATAATTTGTATCCAATCTTCAATAAAAATTACGGATTTTTCGTGTGTTAATATTTTGACACTATCTAAAGTACGGTACTACGTATCCGTTGCCAATCCTCACTACCAAATATTCAATATTAATATTTCCTTAGTAGCCAATTCATCACTTCCCTAACACTTTCAAACTAAACCGACGATCATTATTCATGAGTTCGAAAAACTAATTCGTTATAGTTAACTCAGGGTAAATCAAGCACAAAAATGCTAGCTGTGATGAGATTTGATAGTTTNAGATGGCGATTCGGACAGAATAACGATTTGCTAAAGTTAAACTTGATATAATGATGGCTATTCGGACAGAATAACGATTTGCTAAAGTTAAACTCGATATAAAGATGGCGATTCGGACAGAATAACGATTTGCTAAAGTTAAACTTGATATAATGATGGCGAGTAGGACAGAATAATGATGCCTATTCACTTTTCAAGAAGCCATGCGTGCACGAGAAGCTCCAGTACAACACCTCAGCACGCGGGCGTCGCACCTGAACGCTAATCAATAGGCCTGAGGCGTGCACCACAACTTAGGTCTACAGGCCTACGCGTCCTGTATGACCCCGACACTGAGGTCATTTGGTTCCTCCAGCGCCTCAAGAAGTGCTTTACCGAGGGTTTCTTAGCACCTCAAGAAGTGCTTTACTGTCGGCTTCGTATAAGCACCTCCTGAAGAACTTTACAGAGAACGTTCATACTTCTGTAGCTTATGGAGGACATGCAACGCGCCCCTTTGAGAGAATCAATAGCTTTGAACAAAATTCCACGCTTTTACAGAGGACTTCGAACACCGCTAGATGTATTTACCGCATAGGATTTACTTCACTCCTTGACCAATATATTGTACGTAGGATTGTTCAACTCGGGGTATTTTGTGCCCACTTTCCAAACATGGGAAGTAAGATGCTTGTATACCACGTGTGTCGGAGCACCAAAAATGAACGCACTATCATCATATAGAGACCATGACACGTGAATTGAATCCGATTCACAGGCGCAAGCGATCAAAAATGGTGATTGAATGAACATAGTAACACTACAGTTCCTCACAATAAGAATACGAGGAATAATTATAGATCCGGATATTTATATTAATTATTTAAATTAACCGGGCTGTTTAGTCCTCCTGGAGGTGATAATTATGGTTGGATCGCACACCCACCCCCAGAGCGAAGGAATGAAGTAATTAATTAATAAGTTCGCCCACCGTTTACCTTTAATTTTGTTCGGATAAATTTTTCCACGCGGCTAAGATGTTCTTACCGTTGTTGAAAATTGTTTCGTTACTTAATCAGGAACGACTTCGCCTCCCGGGACAATGATGGTACTTTTACCCATATTTTAGATGAGAAATGCGCATCTTAAGACCGATATTAGTACTAGCTGATAGAATAAGTTTGTTTATACACGCGCGATTAAGGACCAGAGAATTAATTGATTTTAATTTTCTAGTTTTTTCAACAAAAGGTCGTTATGCATGAAGTCATATATTATACCAAACAGGAATACACATATTGTTGACCAAAACATGAAGAATTGAGATATAGCGTGGAAATTTTATAGACGTTTAGAATTTAAGGATCATTAGAACCCAATTCTAACAGGAGAGTGGATGACGAACTATTTGCCGCAAACTAGCCGTCGATATTCCAGCGAAGATCTCCAAAAAGTAAATAGGGAAAGAATCCAACAAAGAGCAACTGGCAGTAGCTGGCAACTGCTTACATCAGCTGATCGATCTGCTGAGTCCAGCCGCAGCACAGGGAAACTGAATACCTGAACGCGAAGGAAAGGTCGTGCGAACTGCTAAGTGGAGGTCGGGGAGCTAGCAGACTATTTTGATTAGATAAGAAATGAACAGACAACAGTTAATATGGAACATAAACTGGCAGGTGGACTTTAGTGCATAATCACGCTGGTGCTCATCCATTAGCTGAGTTAGTTCACAGCAAAAAGCTACCTACTTCAACCCAAAACTACGTTAGATAAATGATGATGGAAACATACACTTTAATGCGCACAAAACACATAGCAGCTAACTCATCCAAGCGCGCAGGAACGCGGAAAAGAATTTTGAGAAATTATATTCAAAGTGAGCAGAAAATTCTTATCGCAACTTGCCGCCAAAAAATATTCCAACAACATGACCCTTATCTTCGCATCTCATAGCATGTACACTCCAGAGAAACGTTTCACGAAAGAATGCATTATCTGTCGCCCAGCTCTCACCCACAAAGCTAGAATAATCTTGCAAATCGCAGACTCAACAACAATATGCAGAAATAGGGGGTCATACTATCAAATAGCTCAAGTTTATATACGTAGCGGCCGATTTCTCGTCTGTGATTGGTGAGGTAAAGCTTATTGCCGTTAGTTAGTTAATTGAATGAAAAGTTACGATTTCATAACTATTCGTGATAGAATCGTTCGGCTTTTGCGGTCACGTTTAATTAAGAAGGGCGAACAGCTGGTGCATGAGTGCAGAAAGAATCCCGAGCACGACATAACTGGCCTAATACGAATCGTCGGTCATGGAGCATCAACTCGCTTACGAGCCGTCAAGTTTTTGTGCGCAGGTATAACGTTCTATGAACTCGCGGGCAATGATCCAGAACAACTTTGATATCAAGTTAGCCATCTCACAAATAATTACACATAGGTCATAAGAGTTGAATTTAATCAGTAGCAAATCCCACAGTGCTAGAGGGAGTTTTTTTGAGCCATATTTCCGGGTCTTCTGAGACGGCTGTACAACGCTCCGGGAAATTTCAGCAACGAAAAATGAAACAAAACAAAAAAATCTGAAGAACCGAAACGAGCTATCGACTCAATTCTTACATTTTTCTTCCGTTGGATTATAGTTATCAGCTCTGATTATGAATGCAACACAGAAGCGTTGACCGAATAGCTGGAAAATACCAGAAAAGCAATACACATTCCTCACGATATTCAGTTCAGGTCTCTCGTAAGACTAAATACAAATTGAAGGCACGAATCCGTCCGTTCATAACCATTATATTATACTATCGTGATTATAACTGATATTGAGTTCACATGCACCCCTGCGACTAGACTCAGTTCGCATCCCAGACCAAACTCAGTCTAAATACCTCAATAGAATGTCCACATCCCTCATCCTTCTCAGTACATAACAAATAACAATATCAAGTCCACATGTCTTAGAAGACTCAGTCCACCCCCAGTCCCCCCCAAACAACGTCTCCTGACGCATTTTATCCCCGCATTTTATCCCCCCCTCCCCGCATTTCATCGTATGAGAACCATCAGCAGCCCTTGCAAGACATCGTTCATGGAGGGCAAATGTCGGGACGCAATTTAAGGTCAGCTGCTCGGTTGCGTTAATCCTGCGAGCAACAGCCACCGCTACAGCCAACTGCTACAGTTCTGCGGTCATCATGTATAAATTTCTCTGCCGTATGCTCCTTCTCAGTTCAAAAAACTCTTTTTCATTTTGCTCTCTATAATATATTTTAAAGTTCACACGTTTTCTTCACACTGCTTCTGGAAGACTTCTTCCCACATTATACTTTTTCCGCCTTTCCTGATCATCATCTCAAAAACCTTCCTTTTCGTTTCCTCAAATATCTATTTATTCATTACTCATGCACACAGTCACTATTAATTGTCATAATATCGTCAATATTCTAGACTTTATATACTCACTCATCACATTCTCACTTTTCCTTGAACTTACGATTTACTTACGATGATTAGGGTACTCACCAGGCGATGGTAGATGAGGTTCGTAATGTCATTTGTATCTTCAAATTCTATAATCCACTATAAATATTTATTAATATCTGTAGGGGAGAAAAATGAGATGTCAGTAACAATAAATAAAAAAAATAAAAATAGATTAGGATTAGCACCAGCCTTAAAGAAAAAATTATAAGAAAGTTGCTAAATAATACAAGGGTGAGCACGACTAAAAATTTATCATCTAATCAGATCCATAAAAAATGCAGCTAATAAGTACTGGAATATTTGGTGTGCAGAACACAAGTGTTCCGGTGAGGGTACTTTGCTGAGGCAGGCATGAACATCTAGCGCCTATGATACGAAAATTCAGGACAACTAAACGCAAACCACAAAAGCACTACCACAATATGCACATTATAAATTACAAAACTGTAAACACATACACATATACTCCACAACCTAATACAAAAGACCAGCGATTCTATTTATTCATTACTCATGCACACAGTCACTATTAATTGTCATAATATCGTCAATATTCTAGACTTTATATACTCACTCATCACATTCTCACTCTTGTTTCTCTAGTCGCAAGCTTTTGCCGTGATCAACTGTAGTATGTAAGAGTAAGCTAAATTAGGTTGGAATATGTTATTGTATGTTAGATTGGGTTAGGTTATGTTAGGTAAAGTTAGGTTAAAGGACGATAGGTAAAGATTGGTCATGTAAGGTTATGTCGGATTATGTTGTGTTGTGTTATGATATGTAACGTCATTATACATTATGTTATAATAAGTCAAGTTATGTAATGTATTGTTGTGCGAGTTTGGTGATAAACGAAAGTATTATAAATGAGTTTTGAGAATAAACGGCCGGTGTTTGTTAGACGTGTTATTTTGTTTGTTGAGATTTTGGATGGAAGTAAGTACATAGATAGGAGTGACGGGTGTTGAGAGATATGTGCGCGGGCACGTATTTAGTATATATGTGTATATTGTTATGATATAAATTTGATTGTTGTGTGTGTTTGTTAATAGTATTTAATGTATTGTATGTATGGTTTTATGTATGTAGTGGTTTTATGTTGTTGATTATAAATTATTGGGGCTGTGTGTCGGCTATCTGGTTTCTCTTGTCGCAAGCTTTTGCCGTTATCAACTGTTCATCGACATAATAAAACGTTTATTTATCGTACGAAGTCCGACAAAATCAATGTGGGTATACGCTGAGAATCCCTCAACACTTATTATTCAGGATTATTCAGGATCAAAACAATACTAATTATTCAGGATTATTCAGGATCAAGACAAGGACCGCATTACCAGTGGCCAGAAATAGCTGACGTTCAGTCGGTAGCTATGCGGCACGGATTATCAAGAAGAAAATATAGAAGCATAAGGCAGCAGGCATTAATAAACAAGGTTAGTAAAGCTGAGGCATGCAGGAATCCACCCTGACGCTGGCCACTCAGCGTCATCAAATATATCGATGACTAAGCATTAATTTTACAAAAAATGCACGGTCACAGGGATGGAAATTAACTGAAGAGAAGTAGGGAATGGATACATAAATCTTATCGTATGTTGCAGCACGTTGCCTCAGTGAAAAGCATGAGTCCAGTCGTATTATTTGAACAAAAATAATCACAATCAACTTGCCGTGGAAAGATCTCAGTCTCAAAATTACCGTAAAATCGAGTTGAATTTTATCGATAATTGTATTTTCCCCAAAAAATAGGGGAAAATATATTAAATTTGGTCATAAAACAATCTTTAACACGATTTTAGAGGTAATTTCGTGAGCTTTTTTCCTTGAACTTACGATTTACTTACGATGATTAGGGTACTCACCAGGCGATGGTAGATGAGGTTCGTAATGTCATTTGTATCTTCAAATTCTATAATCCACTATAAATATTTATTAATATCTGCAGGGAAGAAGAATGAGATGTCAGTAACAATAAATAAAAAAACTAACAATAGATTAGGATNCAATTGTCGTCTTCGCAATTGTCTCCACGATTGTCGTCTCCGCGATTGTCGTCTCCGCGATTGTTGTCTCCATGATTGTCCTCTCCGCGATTGTCGTCTCCGCGATTGTCGTCTCAGCGATTGTCGTCTCCGCGATTGTCGTCTCCGCTTTTTTTGTCTCCGCGATTGTCTTCTCAGCGATTGCCACTGCGATTGTACAACGTCGCAAAGAAAACAAGTTGGGACAACAATGAATCCCGCGATGCTCTCCGGTAAAGTTCATCACACGAGTCCATTGAGAAAACAAACATTTTAGCCACATATCTCTGCATAAATTCACTTACACTGAACACAAAACACGACAACGACATCCTCAATGAAAGAACAATCAGGTCCTTTAGATATTAGCACGAGCCACTGGTAGGATTATAACCAATTCCTTTCAAGGGTGTAACGCAACAAAAGGAGGCAGGGAAATTTCACAACCAAATCGAGCTTCATGATTGGGGTAAACATCATTTACCAAAAGAACCGATACCTGAAGCATAAGTTAACTGTATTATAAACAAATATTAGAGCGATAGCATTGAAGACGGTGTAGTTAAGGAACCCTGTCTAGCGACTTGCATGGAGCTCTTCAAAGCTCCGTCAATAAAGAGGCGTGCTGCGCAAGCACTGATAGAGGACGCGACACCTGCGCACCTGCCCCAACGACCGTCAATGACACACTGAGAGGGAAACATCGCAGCAGCGGCATAAATCTACGGGCCGCTGACACCTATAATGGCCAGCATGAGACGAGGGCACCACGCAGTCCACGAAAAAGAAGAAGAGCTGCTATAAAAGGATCGAGGCCAGAAGCAATGAGAAACTAAATAAGAAAAGAAGCGCCGGGAAGAATGAATAAGATCAATTAAGAAGACAGTAAGTTGGTGCTTTAGGGACACAAACATCATTCAATGTAAATGAATGGATTTCAACGCAAATAATTTCGAAATACTTCATTCAATAAAAATTCTCATTCAGATTACGATCGAACCCTGATTACGATCGAATCAGATTACGATCGATGAATGCAACCTAATGCATCACCAGGTATAATCACAAACCAATGATCAAAATAATAGAGTATTTCATACGCAATAACAGCACATTCAAAAAAGGATATATTGTAATTACTAGAAAAGACAAATTACAGAACACATATAATTATGAGAATAGCTCTTCAAGTCGTTGAAAAAACATTAGCAGGGAACATTCCTCTTGTATCTGAAATTACGGACGATTGGTGTTAACATGCTTTAATTTAATGCATGAGATATGGGAAGACTAGGAACAGATTCCCAGGCGTCTCATAGTGCATTTGTTTTGAGCAGGCATCTACAAATTATCAGCAGCCATTTTCCTCATTATTCTGGGGACCTCAGTGTATACAGCAATACATTAAATAACTTCATTATTACATGCAATTTCATTAAAAATAACAGTGCAGCTTCTTATACGGTATAGTAAAATAATGACACATCATAACAGCTCATCAACCGAACTTGGGGCAACATGAGGCCATGTCTCGTTAAAGGCCCATAAAGTTTTTATTATCATGGATACAAGCTCAGCGAGACTAGACCCGCACATAACGATACACCAACTTCGTTTATCTGCCCATAGCTTTCAAAAAATCATAAAAATGAAATTGTAATTTTTAATGAATAATACCTATATGCATATTGTGGAGTCAACTGCTCATGCTACACCTAACAATATTTAAGAGTCGCCCCAGCTTCTGGTAATCCAAATCAGAAGCTGCCTTGTCTGTAAATTTTCACTGGGTCTGAGAATATGTGTATTACAACTTATGTAATACGCATGTGAACAGTTATGGGTAGCATCAGCAAAAGCACAGTCCATACAATAATACTAAAATACACAAAATAATATTAAAATAGATATCAGCAATAATCTACAAGTGAATTTTCATTAAAATGCCGGGTTATTATGATGAAGAGATTATATTGATGAAGAGATTACCTATCATATTTTATGAAGAGATTACCTATCATATTGATGAAGAGATTACCTATCATATTCATGAAGAAATTACCTATGGTACCATATTTATGAAGAGACTACCTATCATATTTATGAAGAGATTACCTTTCATAACAATGAAGAGATTACTCAAGATTACCTATCAAGATAACTATGGCTTCCTCAGCAATGCTAAACATGAATTTTAAGTTTGAATCTATTCATAAAATATTCATCTGTATGAGTCAGAGTTACTATTGAAAGTTGTGCTTACTCATATTAATAAATTATTGTACTAGCAGTAACCTCAAACTGTTCCTGTGGTGGATGTACTATTTCTTGTCTTGGAAACTATTTCTTTTGGAAATGGAAATAGTTTTTCCCAAAACTATTTTTTGTACTTGAGCTTTCTTTGACAAATGGTCTGGAAAAATGGCCGGATTGTGGAAGACTGTATTGAAATAAGTTCCAAATGTCGACTTCCACAAGTTGCTTGTCAATATTTTTGAAATTAGTTCCTTCTCCAAGCATAAGTACATTATTCCTACCCAGATGAGGCTCACTCTTATTTATCAATATAAACCTTTGTACTATATAGAGTATAGAAGTTAGGAATTGTTTACATCCCACACTCAGGATGATGTATGTTTTCGGTGAATTTTCCTGCGCATTTTCACTTTTTTTAAGCCATTGCTGTGCACAGTTGGCGCAATGTAATGACGTATTCACAGATCTACTCCTCCAACTGTAAACTGTTGGCAACTTTAATGTCAAAAGATACTAGACTGGCATTTTATACATGAACTAGATTTAATAACTTCCAAATACTTTAATTTTGAATAAATATAGGTACCTCATACACTAACAATAGGGCAGAACTCTCCATTTGTGGATCACATATTTTTTATATATTGATCCAAACTGATATACTTTGCCCTCATCCAATATATAAATATGTACTTTTTCATCAATTCATTCATTACTAAAAATTTAAAAGCAAAGAATAGTCCACAAAAATTCATATCTTTATAGAAAACATTTCAGAGTCCAGCTCCATCATCAGTTTGTAGAATCTAG